CGGTTTTGCATTATCTTGATACGCGATTTTGTACTTTAAACGACGATATAAATCTTCTCGCCCCTTTGACCGCATGACTAAAGTGATTAAATGGCATAAAAACTGCTCAGCTGTGCAAATAATTAATGCTATATGTAAGTGCTTGCAATGGTACTTAGAAATAAACAAGCAAAATAACAAAAATGAATGCATAAATATGTACGTACCAGTGATGGAGTTTGAAATTTCAAAATTGTGGCGAATTCATACGAAAGTGTGTGAAATAAAAATATTTCCCTATAAATATTCATACTACATATATATCTCACACCTAGATCTAAAGGGAGCTAACTAAAAAAAAAAGTCCAGGACGATTTTTTTTTGCAAAATTTAGTTCATAGGAATTATCTCCAATTAGTGCAAATATTTTTTCTTCATGGTTATATTCACTAACTAAAAATTACTGTTATACCTGTTTTTTATACCTTTCATGAGCTTGAAATGGTATTATAACTTTGACCTGATGACCCACTTAAATGTATACTTATTTGATCAAAACGTCGAGCTGAAACGATTTAGCCATGCCCGTTTGTCCGTCTGTCCGTCTGTTTGTATGCAATCTAGTCTGTAAGTTTTCAAGATATCCGGATGAAATTTTGTAAGTGGGTGTGGTTTTATATTGTATCTATTAATCATTTGTTGGAACCGGAGGAAGTAAAATTTTCGAATGTTCATGAAAGAAATGAAGCCGAAGACAGCCCTACTCTTATTTGTTTTTAATTGCTTTGATTATGTTCGAACCACAAGCAGTTACAAAATCCATTCTATCGAGTCCGGTTCAAAGGCAAATCGGAAATGTGGAACTGTTCCCTTTCTTAAAAAAGTGGTAATGGGACTAGGGAAAGAAATCGGGACGGCTAAGCAAATGGTTTTAAACAGTTTTTGCTAAAATTTAATTCCTTTTTATATTTTTGTTATAAAGTAGAGCATTAATTAAATATATTACATTTATACCTTAGTTGACAAAAATTTTATAAAAATAAGTAATTTTTATGCAAAAAACAAAACCGAGATTTCGATTCTCTAAAGGACCCGGCTCCTTTGTTCTGTGCCTTACTAGTATGTGTACTGAGGGTCCTAGATCAGTTGGGAAACGCTAAAAGAATAATTATAAAGTCAGAGATGCTCTAGGTCGTACTAGCGACTTCCAGCTACATACATACTGTTGTAAATTATTATGAAGTTCTTTGAATTACTCCAACATTATGATTGCAAGGAAGTCAGGCATATTTTTCATCGGAGTGCCCGACTTTCGCCAAATAGTGTTAAAAACTCGGCAATTAAGTCAAAAATGTTCAGTAGCATAAAAAGTGCGTAAAAAAGTACAATTGTGCGTATTTTTTCAACACTGGCATGAATGCACAAACCGAATAATGGTGTGAGTCTGGAAAATATTATTTTGTTTGAAAGTACATAGAAATTTATTTATGTTAGTCCATATGTACATATGTTCATGTGAATCAGAAAAGCGGTTAAGTGGTTTGGCTTTTTAATTCTATAAAGTCAATTAGAATTTATTATTAAACACAAAATGTGCTTCGAAAGATTGCTAGAGCTCCGCAAAGCTTCATATGGGCAAGAGCGGTTATAAGGGTATAAATATGGGCCGAAATTAATTACAAATCAAGAAATCGATTCGTTTTTAGATGAAATCAATAAAATATTTAAAGTAATCAAAACAATCCTATATCCAATATGATATTCTAAGGGTAATGGTATAAAAAATTAAATAAAACATCATAATAAAGGCTTCGAATGGAAATTATTTAAGAAATCGACAATTCATAAATATTTTTGGACACAGTTGCCACCCATTTTTAATTGTATATTTATTTAACTTTTTGTTTAGAAAATAAAAGCACTATTCATGGATGCTAAGGAAGGCTCTAAAACATTTGCCCATACAGGAAGTATTATCCCTTATGATATTAGTGTAAGGTTGCCACTTATTTACGATTCTAAAAAATTTAACTACAACAGCGCAATATGGATATGAAATCAAAGGAATTTTTGAGGACTTTAGTCCAAAAATATTTCATATGAGAGTTTTCACGTTTATTTTTTGTAATAGGAATTAGAATCCACATATCGTCACCTAAGGGCCTGTGCCAATCATTAGAAAAGTTCTATGGTGAAAAAAACTTTTTACTATGTTGAGAAAATTTTACATTTCTGCTGTGCCAATTCGTAAGTTTTTTCAGCTGGAAATTTTTGACAGTTGCTTAAATGCAGAAGAAGACTATCGAGTTAGCAGTTAATAAAACGCAGCAATCATAGACGAAATATTTTCCGTTGCTGATTACAGTTCTTTTGGAAGTTTTCTTTTTTTTCGCTGGCAGGATCGTGTTTATCCACTCATTTTTCTTTAATATCCGCTTGCTTTTTTTTCTTTAGTTCATATTTATACGCGCGTTGTTCAGTATTCTTCTTGACATTAGCTTTGTTCCTTTACAGATAATTATCACTAGTTTTTGCTGGAAAGCGTGTCTTAACCCTAAAAATTTGCAGAAACCAGCAGCTCTCCCGTTCTTACGCTATTATTTTTTTCGTAAAATTTTTACTAGCAGAATAATAGCAGCTGTCAAAATGAATAAACAGCTTATGAACCCTAAACAACCGAGGTAAGGGAAAGTTGCTTTTATTTGTTTCTTTCTTAAAATTTGTTGGTATTTTTGAAATAAAAATTAGCGAATTAATATATATTGATGAAGTACTGCAAAATGTATTTGTAAATACTTCATATATAAAAAACGCGATCAAATAATTGCGCAAATATTTCAATTGTCAAATACACCGAGCAGTTGTTTACTTGCTAGTTTCTGCTAGTTTGCTAGCAAAGCTAATGCTTGCTGTCAAATTTTTCACTAGCCCTGCCGGATAAATAATTTTTATTCACCTCACAGCTTTCAAAAATTTACTATCCAAAGTACCTTTCTATCAATGGGCACAGGCCCTGAGCGGGAGATCGACCCATCTCGGCAGCTAGTTAGAAAACGCCCTATCTCAGAAAATTTTTCAAGAACTCCCTACTTCAGAATTTAATTTAAGAATGTCTCATTTCAGAATTTTATTGAAAAACAATTTGGTTGAAAAGCGGCCTATCTCAGCTAAAGATATTTATATTGAAAATAGGGCATTCTAATAAGATTTTTAAGTATGGAGTTCCTGAAAATTTTTTTGAGACAGGGCGTTTTCCAACTGGCTGCCGAAATAGGTCGATCTTCCGCTCAGGATATGGTCCCTTCATCCCAGCGTTTTTTTAATGGGGTTACCAAATAAGTTTCAAGTAAGAAGTTTACTTACTTTTTAAGCTATAGATTTGAAATTTTTGTTAAATTTAATTTCAAAATATTCCTTTCAAACCGTATCCAAATGACCATTAAATTTTTGAAAAGTAAATGCGCTCCGAGCAAAGCTCGATTAACTTGGTACTACTCTTTTTAGCGAGCAACAGCTAAAGACCTATATATGTAACTTATTGGTGACTGACTTGACTTCTAAAAAGCAACGTTATTTAAAGCAGTTTTTAATTTTTATACATAAAGATATACAAAAGCAACTGACTCTTTTTATTTAAATAAAACCATAAAATTGTTTAGCTTTGCTCATTTTTTTATTTGGAATTGCTACTTAATATAACCCTAAGAGCATTATTTTGGTCAAACCAGTAGAACCTTCTGAACTAAACACGTCCTTGGACAGTACTTTGGGAATCATTCACAGCCGTTGGTTTTATGATCGTCCATAAAGACTCCATGGCATTACTAAGTGAACTGGATGACAGCCCCTCTTAATACCTGTTTCATATCGGCGTAGCCTATGTATCTCTAACTTGAGAAATTTTCCTACGCACTTCAGTTACGTACTTTACTAGAACAGGTTGGGGTACTCACAGGTACATGACTTTGTCCTTGCGCTCTTCACTATCCCTTTAACTAATTGTAAGAAGTAAAGTTGATCACAACCAAAAAGGCTAGAGCAGCTTCAATTAGTTTTTATACATGCAGGGTTCTCAAAACTAGTCCGGCCGGGATTAAATTTTTAAATTTTCGTTCTTAAAATTTTTTTTCAGTTTTCTTTACTTCTCAAGACAAAATATCCACTTAAAATTTAAAAAAAAAACAAGTAAGAAAGTCTAAGTTCGGGCGGAGCCGAACATTAAATACCCGGCGCAAGTTTTCCACCTTTCCGAAAGCTACCGTTACATGATAAGCCGGGGTGTATACNTAGTGTGTGCCAACAGCAAGGCGCATATCAAAAATGAGAGGAGGAGCTCGGCCGAACCCTCAACATAAATGCAGCAGATATTTAGTTTTTTAATGCTTACACACGTAAACAAACATGCATCTGTAACTACCCTGTGGGGAAAAATCTCTAGTTCTGAACTGGTGCGCTTCTAGTACATTTAGACCCAGTACAGGTTAGCGATAAACCTCTTTTGCATGCAAACAACTGGCGAATTTAACATGGCGATGTCCTAGGAAGTGTCAATTGCCCCCCGCTGCATCCCTTTTTCGATAGTTCCGAACTAGTCCTAAA